ATTATATATATATATATATATATATATATATATATATATATTAGTTATTTCATTATCTATCTTATAAATTTTCTCTTAACTTATGCAGATTTCTATATTATCAATCAAACGACATATCAATTATAAAAAAACTTATTTCTTATTTAATTATCAAGTATCATATAAGTTTCTCTCTATATATACATACACATTCCTAATACATAGTTATACATCATATAGACATGATATACTCTATTTATACAATATTAATATATTGCATATACATGTGGCAATTTTTGTTAAAAAAAACATTTTTGTAAGTGGTACATTTACGTAACAAATCTGTTTCGAAATAGTTTGGACCTCTAACTAAGGCCCAAATACAAACTTTTCAGATTTAAATTGAGGCCAAAGCCCAAAACTTATGGCAATAACATGAATATTTTGTATCTCTCAAAAGTTATTAAACAAAAATTCAATAGGTTAATCACATTATAAGTTGAATCAATCAATTTAATCCAAAGTCTTAAGAAATTACATGAACATGTACAAGTATTTTAAGAAATGGTCATGCTTGCTAATGATAGCTAAAATTATTGAGGTAATTCACTTTAGTTGAAATTAATTTAATAGTTAAAGCAGTAAATACATGACTAATACAAAATCAACTTTAAAATCTCATTCTACAAATAAATTATATTCTTTTAGCCTCAAATTTTTCGAGGTTTCTTTATCTTTGTTAAAAGATCATTGAATCCTAAAATTATACTGTATAGTTAGAGTAAAAATATTTTTTTAAAATATATATATTACATATTGACACTCTTTGACTTTCATGCAATTTTAATATTTGATACCTTTAGTCAAAATTTTGACTTCACTATTAATTCTGATATTTTTTGTTGTACGTCTAGCTTTTCAATATTGCACTTGTATATTCTATTCTTCTTAAAATTTATTTGTAAAATTTTACTGTATATATCGTTATTATTGATGTATTATTAAAAGAAAAAACCTAAAAATTATAAAGAAGTAGAATATTCAATCTCCCAACAAAAAAATTTGATGAAAGTGAAAGATGTCGGTGAAGTGAGAAAAGATGTAAAAAAGTCAATAAATTCGGAAATATTGTCAACACACGCTGACATATAAAGTAAACAAAAATTGGAATTTTCAAATCACATAATTTTCTTATATTAATGTAGTACTAGTACTACTCACTCCGTTTCATTTTAGATCTTATATAAAAAGTAATTTTTTTAATATAATTGATATATGATAAAAATTGTGTTCGTTAATATAATTGTATATAATAGATATTATAAATTATATTTGTATTTGTATCAATTGTATATTAATATTTGAAATTGGTGATACAATGGATACATGTACTCATCTTCTTTCCTTCCTTCCTCAATCTCGCTTGGCTCTCTCCCACTATACAAATTAGTTGTATCCATTGTAACGACGAAAAGATCATGTAACGGCTGGTTTAATGTGATAGCGTCGTTATTTTAATATATTCTTATCATTCTTTTTTGTTATTTTATAATTGTATTCATCTTTTACTCTATCTTTTTATAGTGACTTTACCATGTAGCTTACTTTTTCTTGCAGTTTTATCATTCAAATTGTAGATTACAACAAATTATTTTATAATACAGTTAGTACAACTAATCTAAATCCTCAAAACGTAAAATAATCCTTTTCTAACCTTCTACCCCAGTACGCAATCTCCGTATAATCATATCTTATGAAAGCGTGTGATACTACTTGGATGAATAAAATAACAATTTTTCATGTCCAATATTTTTCAAAACTTATAGTGTGAACTCATTCCATTACTTTTTTTCCCTCTTATGCTTTTCAATATTCCAAGTTCCCCACTTCCTAGAAATATCATTCAAACACTATTATAAGTCATTTTCATACTAAACTTGCTGAAATAGTCTTTAGTTTTTTTTTTTTTATCAACTCTTTTATGAAACAAACTTGATATTGTTCCCTTTCTAATTCAATCTTGCAAAAGATACACAACAATACAAAAGTCTTTTTCATCAACCCCTTTTTTCAACCTTACAAAAATAAACAACAAAAAAAAAAGTCACAATCAACCATTTTCGCTAGTGACTTAAACTTCTTATCTCATAATTTTCTTGAAAACTCAAACATCAACATGGCTAAAAATCCAAAAGATACATCTTCAACAAAGTGTTTTTCAAGCATTTTTCAAAGGCTTATATGTGGTGGAAGTTTACCAACACACCCTTGTGATCAATTTAAAGAAGCAAACACAACAACATATGAGGCAAATAGTAACAAATTAGTTGGAGGAGCCAATAGTAGTCCAGGAATTGTGGCAAGGCTAATGGGATTAGAGTCATTACCTAGAGAAGAAAAAAGTAAATTTGGTTCATTTTCAAGAAGCAAATCAGCTAATTCACTAGATTACTTGATGCAATTTGATCTAACTCAACAATTTCATCATAGAAGAGTTAGAACATCTCTATCTTTTCGCGAAATTCCGAATCAAGAGGAGTCCAAGTCTGAGTATTTAGTGTTTTGCATCAATGATGAAAAACAAGAAATGATGAAGCCAAAGAAAAAGAGACAAAATGTTGAGAAGAAACAAGTTAGTGGAAAACAAAACAGGATTGGTAATAATAAAGTGAAAAAACAAGTGATCAAGTTTGAAGATTATCCTACAAAGATGTGTGTTGAATCTAAGAAGAATAAGAGAAAGAGCAAATGTGTAGTGTCTACCAAGATTCAACCTTTATATTATAATTCAACTCCAAATGATCATCTTCAACAAGATGCTACTATCCCTTCAGGTGTGTGTTTCGACTATCGGACTTTTCTTTTGTTGAAAGGCTTTGCACTGTTTCCCCTGTTAGTTGCTATGTTTTCTACATTATTTTCTTCTCTTTTGGACACGGTCTTTCTACCTTTATAAATAGTGGCAAGGTCTTTCGGACGCAGTCTTTGTTCAATTGATTGACTATAAGTCAATCAATCAACAAGGATGTAAGTATTGTACACTACTTATGTGCAATTTAATTTATAGTTAGTTATTAAGTGTAGTTATCTTTTAGATGACCTGATAGTTCCGATTACAAGTATTAATATGTTGTTTTTTATTATATTCAGAAGGGAAAATTCAGGTAAATTCAGATGCAATGAAAAGCAAAGTAGAGAAGCAAAAGGAGATTAGTAAAGAGAAAGATCATTACATAAAAGTGGTTGGAGAAATTTGTAGATTAACAGAAGAAGAGTTAAATGAGTCACATTGGATAACATCAATTAGAAATGGAGAAAACATCAACTTTGAAGATTTATGCCAACAATTTGGACAACAACTTCTTCAACTATTAATAGATCAACTAGTCCATGAACTTGTAATCTTTGCACAATGAACATATTCATGTGTGTTTCCTACTTGTTTAATATCATGTGTTCCCAATTCTACAACAAATATCTCAAAAATTGTACAAGGAATTTGGAATCCAAAAGACTAAAGAATGATTGCTCATGTTGATTTTAATGGCACCGTATCTTACTTGTTATATTCTGCTTAATATATAAATATAGTAATGGCACGGTATCTTACTTGTTATATTCGGCTTAATATATAAATATAGTAGTAAAGAATGTCTAATTAGGTAAAAAAAAAATTTAAAAAACAAAACCATATATCTCTCTAAAAATAAGAAAGTGGAATTCATGAATTTATCTTGTAATATACTAAATTAAAGGATTCTTTAAGTTTTTTATTTATGATAGAATTCATTCTCTCCTTCACTTAGACAAATCTTATAATTGCCTAATTATTTTAGGATTCCTTCTCCTTATTTACGTGGCAATATAACTAAAAGATTATGAAAAAATAAATAATATTTCAAAAAAATAGTAGTAAATAAAATAATAAAAGAAAAATGACAAAAATACGATTTTGTCTAAATAAAAGTATTTTATTGAACAACAAAAAGTTCAAACAAATATTATTAATGATCTTCCTGGTTGTAATATAGTATAATATTGACAAAAATATATTAATTTGTTTATAGCAAGAGTTATCCTAGTTCAATTGTGTTGCCCTAAGATAGCCAAAATATCCTAAAATTAAACTTGTTCTACTCGAATTGCACTTTATAAGATAAACTTATTATAAGAAGATATTTTGATTCGTTATTTGTAAACAAAACTATTTCTTTAACAATGAATTTTCCCAAGGAAATCTTAGAGGAAATTCTTTCAAGACTTTCGGTAAAATCTCTTTTTCGTTTTACGTGTGTTTCCAAGTTGTTTCATTGTATAATATCATGTGATTCCCAATTCCACAACAAACATGTCAAAAATTATTCTAGGAACATGGAATCTAAAAGATTGTTTACTCACGTTGATTATAATGTCACTGTATCTTGCTCATTATATTCTGCTTATTACAACGATACAATCTCATGGAGACCTAACTATACTAGCAGGAGTTGCATTCCAGTTACTATTCATTGTCCGTCTATTAATGGATTGTTCTGCGTGAGTCTTGACCAACTAAACGCGGGTATTGACCACCAATACGCGAGTTTTGAGCCACTAGGCTTGAGTCTTTCGAATTGGTTTGAGATATGTTTATGGAATCCTACTATCAATGAGTTAAGACCGCTTCCTAATTCAACATGTCATGTCGAAAGAAGTGGTTGGGAACCCTTTTATGGATTTGGTTACGACTCAACTAATGATGATTATGTAGTAGTGAGGGTCATCACTAGGTTTTCTAGACCTTTATACCAAGGGTACCCTATCAAAGTTGAACTCTACTCATTAAAACATGATTCTTGGAGGCTTATTCAACCATTCCCTTACCATGTTATTTTCAATCAAAGGACCTATTTCAATTGTCATTTTGTGAATAATAGATTCCATTGGATATCCCCTTGTGACATAGGAGGAAGATATGATTCACCTAAATGGATGATTGTGTCCTTAGATTTATCGAATGATGAATATAACGATATACCATTACCTAACTATGAAAAGGTACCACGTAATTTTTCTTATAATGATGCCATTAGTATTGATATAGTTGTTTTACATGGTCTGCTTTGTATGTTCATTTATTGCTGTGGACATTCTTTCGATATGTGGACAATGAAAGAGTATGGAGTCGAAGAATCTTGGACGATAACATTCTCTATCCCTCAAGATGATATTATGGGAACATGCGATGGCAATACTCCTATTGATTTGATTAATTCAAGATTATTTTGGCGTATGGTCCCTTTGTACTTATTTGAAAATGATGATGTTTTGTTTGAGACAGAGAATCCGACGGACAAACTTCATAAAAAGAAAATTGTCATTTATAAGAAAGACATGAAAGTTTTGAAGACTTGGTTGGGTAATCAAACAACACATATAGCTAGAGCTAGAGGAGGAAGTTTTATTTATACAGAGTCCTTAATTTCACCCAATCGATACATGACACGTACTCCTTCCAGAATCGCCAAACTCGGGGATAGGCTTATTCAACGTGTTTCTTATTAGATCATTCCAAGTATTTATTCATTGGATATGAACTACTTATTCATAATTATTCTTAGCTTTAGTTTATTGCTCTCGTTACAAACAACAAGCATGTACTTATAATTACTTTTATTATCGCAACGATTAGTTATGAAATTTAGAGTAGGGATAAACATAATGGATTCTTCATATGAAACTGTGATTGCTGTATACATTGATATTCTTTCGTAATAATTATTTTTTTAATGGTTGTAAATATCATGGGAAAAAAAGTTAAGATCAGAAAAAAGAATCATATTTAACAAGGATTTGGGGCTACCGACCTTCATATAATAGCTTGAGTTAGAGATAGAACGACTCACATGAAACATATGAAAATAAACAAATTAAATCGACACTCGAGTGACAAAAGGAGTTTGGATAAAATTCTTTCAATAGTAAATAGTCGGTATACAAATATCTTCTGTCATATTTTTAGGATATTCGTGCTCCTGTCGTTCAAAAATTAGATCATATATATCGTTTATACCAACAGATATATACGCATGTCATAATCTTATCTACTGACCCAATTTTTGTTCAATCTTGATCACGTGTCCTTATTTAGTCTTTTGTTAAAGTCGGAACAAAAAATATTAAATTTTTAACAAACTTAAAAGGACCAAACTTACTAATGTGTATACTTTGAGGTACTATTTTCAACATATATAAAACATCAAATATAAGAGAGCATTACCCTTATATCTCCATTCCCCCACAGCCCCTCTCTGTGTGTGTGAATTTGGTGGCAATGGATCGAACTCAGCTTCTTCTAGTGGGTTTACCCCTTTTTCTGTTCATCTCCGATCTCTTCCAATTATTTACTCCTCCGCCGCAAAAACCCAATTCCGATCACCACCATCACCACCACCAGCCGCCGCCACTGATTCAACAACCTCAGACTCTTGAATTTCCGACTCAGGTAGTGGACTTCACTAATTGTCTGCTTCTTAGATTCTTTATGTATTTTTGATAAAAGGGTATCTTCTTTTATATGTTTCTTGGTGTTTGACTTGCAGAAAACTGGTGGTATTGGTGCAGTTGGTATTGGTAACACTGTCACCATTGATTTCTGCTCTTCCTGTTCTTACAGGTTTTTCTTATATTACTGTTTAATCATATGAGTTTTGATTAAATCAATGGAAACTTTTAGATTGTTTTTCTAGTTTGACTTTGCACAAAGTATAAGGAAAAAGGTAGACTTTTGAAACTCGTGGGCTGAAATAATCATAGATGTTCGTATGACTATATATATCTCGTTAAGTTTGTAATGGGGTTTTTTAAGTTTAAACTTTTACTAAATATAAAAATGTGTTATTCTTTTTGGGACGGTTTAAAAAGAAAGTGTGTGATATAAATTGGGACAGGGGAGTATGTCATTCGTTCTAAAATTTGGATTTTGAACTAGCTATTGAACTTGTAATGTAGCTTATGTCATGAGATGTTGTATAGATCGTTTATATCAACTAGAAAATATATGATACTGCCAAGAATTTTTTGAGTTATCGAAGAACATAATATCTTGGCTCTCTAACATGATTTGAACTTATCTGATTGAGTGCTTAACGTCATTTTAAGTAGTGTGATAGTCTTAAATGCACGATGGAAAAAAAGAAAAGAGGTCACAAAACTAAAGGAGAATGTTGGGAACCCTTACTGTATAGGTCTTTTAGAATGCCCCATAACCTTCTCATTTGATTTGTAGAGAGGATGTTGTTCAGCTTCCTTTTGTGGCGATTCGTTGAATTCCGTTAAGATGCAAAAACTTTTCCCATATATGCAATATACATGATCCATAGAAATGCATGTTTTGTATGTTTGGTGCGTAAATATTTTAATCATAGATGTGGTTCTTTTGTATGGATAAGAAAAGATATGCAAAAGTAATATTTGTTTATCTTTCCATTACTTTGTTCAATTGGTCATCTAGTCTTACCATATCAAACTGCATTTAAGTTTCATGTTTCTTGGCAGAGGGACAGCTGTGACGATGAAAAACATGTTGGATAATCAGTTCCTGGTATCCATGTCGTCCTTGCTAACTATCCTCCTCCACTTCCAAAACGTTTGCTGGGAAAAGTAGTACCTGTTTTCCAATTTGGAGTCATTGGCCTTGTAATGGCTGGTGAACAAATATTTCCTAGGTTGGGTATTGCGGTACCACCTCCATGGTTCTATCAGTTACGTGCGAACAGATTTGGGACTATGGCAACTACTTGGCTCCTAGGAAATTTCTTTCAGTCCATGCTGCAAAGCTCTGGTGCTTTTGAAGTGTATTGTAATGGTGAACTGGTATGTACTGTTCAATCTTTCTATGTATATCCTTTTTCCTTGAGGTTAAAAATGTAGGAAATGATTACCATTCTGTGCCTTTTTGTGTCTAAAACCATCTGATTTTGTGAGAAGTAAATTCTGGAAATCATTTTTACTTTAGTATAGACTAGATAGATGTCCATCTAAAGAGGCTGTTTGATCATTTTAGCTATCTGTGATGCACTATCAGCCATCCATTATTAGATAGGTTTATGTTAAATTTTACTTTGTTAACTTCTTTGAAGGGGAACATTACTTTGTTTCATCTGATATGAAACCATGAATGCAAAAAAAAAAACGACCTTTAACTCTCTGAACACTTCTCGTTCTCTTTCGCTCATATAGAAAAAATTGCCAAGACAAATTATGGTTCATTTTCGGACTGAGGATGTCGTTGGCATGTTATACTTGTACTCCCACTTCATATATATTATATGTTTCTTTTAAATTTGGTGAAAATCATCTTTGAGCAATGCCTTTATATGAAGGATTTCAAGTGTAACTAACTTTTGAAGTATCATGATTCACAGAGATCTTTGTAGCCGCTGTAGCATGTGATATGAAGCTTTTATTGATTGCCAAGTAGCTTGTTGTACATTCTTGCGTCTCCTCTCACTGTCTAATTTTAATTTATATGACAGGTTTTCTCTAAACTGAAAGAGAATAGGTTTCCTGGCGAACTCGAGCTGAAAGATCTAGTTGCCAGAAAGATTTCTAACCCAGCGGTAGTTGATGGCCTTGGTGCATCTTCCTGGTCGTAGATGTGTAGATTTCACGAGATCAATGGTTATATGGTATCGATAAAAAGGACTTTTTTGTTCCTCAAATCTTTGTGACATTTGATATTTATGATGTACAAACACTTCACTCTCACAATGCAAACAGTATCTAGTAGCAGGTTGAAAGAATAATGAAATGCTTTATAAGTAGCCCTGTTTTATCTTATTTTTGAAATGCATATGCAGATATGATCAATCTTGATCACAATAGTTAATGGTATATCAGTGCAATTTACATGTCAGTTCCAGGTGAGAAGTGTTCTAGGTACTGCAGAGGTGGTTTCAATGTTATAGTTCTAAAGAATTGACAGGGCAGATATTCGATTTTGGATCCATAAAATTACAATTCAAATATAAAACATTCAACTTTTAAGTTATCTGAAATACCTTAGTACGATATCCAATTCGAAATCCATAAATATTAAAAATAAAATCCAAAGTTTCATCTATAATTCAAAAGTTAAAACCAAATAACCAAAAAAATTGGAGATTAGATTGGCATCACTCAGAAACTCAAAGATAGTATAAAAGATCCACATTACAATTCTTAGTCGTCGTATTTTTTATGAAAGGCTTTACTCACTTCACAAACAATAAATATGCCGTCTGTTACATAATTTTCCTTTGCAGACAAACAAAAGATAATGAAAATGAAGAGCAAAAAATAACAAAACCACCTAAGCTTTTCACAAATAATCTATGTTACACTCTCATCAGTTTCTTTAACCCAAACTTTTGAAAAGCCATATCGATCTGTACAGTATATATGTCAAATATCGATACTTTCTTATGTGTAACAATGATGAATCTTCTGTTTCCAGAAAAGGATGATGATATCTTCATATCTGCCACCATTTCCGATTGCGATTTTCCATTACCTTAACAAGCTCATTTGCCAATGATGCAAAGTCTTCAGCCCCACTGCGTAGTTCTTCAGTTCGTCGGTTGATTCTCTGCAACAACATATATACTTATACGTGTTATCGATTCACCAGAATAAGCAAAGGTTTGACTGGACACAGTACAACGAGAAATTGAGCATTTCTCAAAGAGGAGCACAGTGCAGAACTAGACAATGGCCAGGGATCAAGTTGCAGCACAAACCGAAGAATTTATTATTTGAATCTGAATAATGCAGACAGCCTTCCTAATCAATTTTCTGTCTGTCTACCTATTCCCCCTTCCTCTAATCTTTAAATCTCGAGTGGTGTTAGCTTATTATACTCTCAACTCTTCTTGGTTACAAGCAAAAATTTATTTCATGTATTATCATGTTCAACTTTAGGTGTTACATGAACATCTTCACCATCTTAAACTCTAATTAACCTACCTCGAGTTTTTCTTGGCGTTCTAGAAGCTTGTCTCTTGCTTGTCCAGCCGCTGATGATGCATCCTGGACCTGGAAGATATAGATAGGATTGAATATAACAATAAGAACATTTATTAGATACAATTCAGAATGAGAAATCATAAAAATAACAAATATGACTACCCCAGTTTTTCTATATTTTGCAATGATTTCTTCACGTGTCCTAGGTCTGGGTTTGGCATCATCACCCACAGAATCAAGCAACTTTTCTCTTTCAGTTCCTGCGATATATACAGGGAAATATTTGTTATTATGGATTCTGAAAGTGCAGAAGATCAATTTAATGTAAGTTACCTCTTTTGCTATTTTGTGTGTTATGAGATGAAGTAGAAGCCACAGGGACAGGGTCATCGATTTCAATATCATCTGTGTCAAAAGTAAATCTTCAGTTAATGGCACTTCAAATACGGAAATGCTGAATAAATAGGGACACAAAATAATGTCAGTCATGAAGAAGTAAGAACTTAAATACGAAGGGATGTTACCTATATCGAGCTCCAGTTCTTCTAGAACTTCCTTAGTTGGGGACAGTTCTGAGTGGAGTGGGTTCTTCATAAAAACACCTTCCAGATGACTAAAGTTTGACTGCGTCATCTGACTGAAATCCATATTTTGATTTGTTTTTCCTGCTTTAAATCCTTTAACTAGAGTACCTAAAATATTTGGCCCCCCACCCTGCAGCAACATCTATACGAATTCAGCCACTACAAAACAAAGACCACAAGGAAACATATTTATCAACCAGACCTGTTTCTTCTTCTGAGTGGAGAATTTCATGGCAGCATCTGCTGCAGCTGCGAGCACTTCATCATGAAGAGACGGCAAAGATTCTGGAATTCTGGAAATTGTATTGTTGAATCAGTAATTTTGAACAATCTATGCTGCTCATGAGTAAGCTATTCATTTGATGGAAAAGTATCACTAACTGATCACATACCTGAAATCATTTTCACTGGCTAATAGGGACACTAAAGCCAGTTCAGAACCATTTGCCTGACATTTGTTAGACAGAGATGTTCAGAGGACAGCCATGCAATAATAGGCCAAAATTTCAATAAGCAAACAATAATGCTAAATGCGATAGGATAATAACATGCACTGCAACTCTGATTACCAGAATAATATGGCCATTCTCCATGGAACTCATTGCCCTGTCCATATTTGGTTTGAAATTCCACCTTAAAACCGACATTAAAGAAGTTCGCTCCAGCAACTCTAGATCAGGCAAAGATCTGGAGACACATAGATGTTAGTAACAGTAATATTTTTAACACTCGGTTCTTCCATGATATATTATCATGGACATGCAGCAAAGCAATCTTGCGTAATTGACAGTACAGAATTGTATAACACACAGAAAAGTTGTACATTCAAGGTGCATTTCGTATGACTGCAGAAGTTCTGGAAAAATCTTCCTGAAAAACTATTTGTCGGTCATTATCCAACATTTGGTAGTAATGTATGTCTCAAACAACTTGCTTCTTAATCACCATCTCCAGAAGATGGGAGATAGCCATCAGAATAATATCTTGGCAATGGCGCAATGTTAAAAACTTACAACAGTGTTTATGTGTTAATTGAAGCAACTGATACAAATTGGGATAATTGTAAAGGAAAATAACACAAATTGAGATACTTAAAATGTAACAATGAACAACGTCCATGATGACACGAGCAAATTTCCCCCATTTGACGTAAACTTGTTTAGGATCGAAGTGTGATTATTTTCTTGGAGAACATTCTTAACAATTTTAAGGCAACCAAATACTGGAAAATATTATAATTATGCCTTACTAAGGTCCTTAAAAGTTTAAGAATGGTGCTTGCCCCAGAAAATTTTGGAAAGAAAGAGGTTACCGAATCTCGATATCCCCAGTCTGAAAGAGTAATAATAGCGCACAAGCTTTCCCATCTTTCACAAGAGTAGTAGTCCAACAACAAGGCTTGTCGAGCTTCACTTTGCAAACAGATTTGTTATCACCCTAGTTTGGAAAATCAAATTGAATTTTATTAGCACATCCAACATAAATAGAAATGCAGACGTAATAAAGCAATATACTCACATGAACTACAGATTTTGTAGCATAAGTGCGTATTGAATCTTTACAGCAAAGTAGGATAAAGGACTCCTCAAAGTATTTCCTGGAGGAGTCATTTTCTAGGAAGGGAACTGTATCACTTAGGTCACGAGTGGTCATTTCCTGTGAAGGCTCATTACTAGCTGCATCATCCTTGCTGGACTCTGGCTGCTTGCTAATTACATAAGAAAATGGGATGTTGTTTTCTGAAATGAAAGAAAATCAACACAAAACTGAGTACAACTTACAAGTCAAAAAACTTTGGATTTCTCTACAAATATGTACTTGCCTATGACATACATAGAAATTGCAGTCGACACTTTCTTTAAATGCAAGGGCCCTGAACCATACGTTTTACCATTACCACCATCAATTACATATATCTTTGCATCCTCAGTTAAAATGAACATGAGTTCCTCCATACGCTTTTCTGCAAGCTCTGATTGTTTTGGGCTTTTGCTATTACTGTCACTTTGCACAAATCTCTTTGTAATCAGAGTGACCAGTGGAGAGCAACCAGCAGATGCGGAGTCTGACAAGAACAATACTGATAATGAAGTCATATCAAGCACTGCAACCTGAAAGTGGAGGCATAATAATAAGTATCCACATAAATCAACAATAAAATAGACATCACAAGTCCATCACAAAACTTGAGAAAATGATAGTGTTATTGACCTTAGCATTTTCGTATCCAACTACAAGTTTGGCTCCATGATTTACAAACTCAATTGCTCGGACTCGAACATCGAGAAGCTTTAGAACAGCTCTGCAAGTAGGTCCTTGACCTTGTGCCAACTCATGAACTAAGAAAACGTATATACCAGTGAGTTCACAGATAGTAGTTTGATCTCCAATTATGCCAAGTATATCAGGAGTATTTTAACATAGAAATGATATATTATTTCCTCCTCCCATTCTGTCAAAAAATATTACTATTTGAAGTGTCACACAACTTTTTGACTATAAGGTTTGAAACAATTTTTAAGTGCTTTTTAAATTATAGGATATTGTACTTTCTGTCTATCGGAAACATCCTCAATACCCCACAAAGGTAGAGTTAAGGTCCGTGTACACTTCACCCTCCCCAGACCCCACTTATTGGCCTACAATAGGAATGTTGTTGTTGTATGAAAGATTTTCAAATATTTAAGGAATATAAGTCTGGAATGAATGTGGAAACCAAATGGTTTGACCTTTGTATTTCATACCCCCTCACTCATTTTGAGATGTAGGGGAAAGATACTGGGAAAAGAAATGTGTGGCACATCAGATTCAATTGTTGTCCACAAAGTAGCTTGCTACGACTATGGACAGCTACCTGGATATATGGAGGTGGTTAGAGGTGTGTGGTCACAATTAAGTTCATCTAAGAGAACAAAACCATTATCAGGAATAAAACCACGATTTGAGCCCCAAACACGATAACAAATCAAGTTTGTCCACTAACAATTAATAGGACTCGCAATTTTCAGACAACTTTGAAGTTTCATTCAAAAATTTCAACAATGGAGGCAAAGATATTTTTCAAGTTGCACATCTTTTTTTAACAATTTGTATGTAAAAATGGGCTTCCAGGTGAGGAAGGAAGAAATTGGATAAATGGGGATATATCAACACATGAATGAACTAAGCGTTTAAAATCTGTTATACAAATATGTATTCACTATGGCTGGTAAAAAAACATAAGTGACGAGGTCGAAAACATTCATCCAGGAA